AAACATGAGGATTGCCTTTTGCTTTAATCGCTTAGTGGACAATGATTCCCAATTAAGTTCTTCAAGAAGAGAACTTGATGAAATATCATAAGATGAACGGGTAATAACACGGGCGGCCCTATTCTGTAATTTTTGTAATTTTTCGCTTTGCTTTTACCTAGGCCATCCCAAACAGGGGCACAATAGGAAAAATAGGGCTCCACCAAACTTTGGTAAACTCGAATTGCAGTTTCTGTGGTAATAAAATCTCTCATTCGTTTGAGAGCACCGATACCCGAAGAGACTTTTTTGGTGATATTATCAACATGATATTTCCAAGTCAAGTTCTCATCAATTGTTAAACCTAATGACTTAGACTTCAGCACTCTATTAATCTGTTTATTGTTAACACATACTTCCACATTCTGATTATCAAAGGTTGAAAGTCTTTGACGAGATCCAATAATCATAAATTCAGTCTTGGCAATATTTAAACTTAACTTATTTGCCTCTAGCCATGTGTTTAAATTGGCTATTTCAGCATTCAAAAGATTTTCTAGCTCAGAAAGATTATTACTTTGCATGCTGATGTTCGTATCATCAGCATACATTCTAGGTAAACCCTCGTTCAAGCAGTTAGGCAAGTCATTGATATAGATCAAAAACAGAAGTGGGCCTATAATAGAGCCTTGCGGAACTCCATGTGAGATAGAACGACTACCAGAGAGTTTGCCATTTACGTAGCATTTCTGTTTTCGATTGTTTAAATAGGAATTAAACCACGATAGCGCATTGTCATTCACACCATAACACTTGAGTTTACGTATAAGAATTTCGTGATCAATTGTATCGAAAGCTTTCTTTAGGTCAATGAAGATCACTCCGTTAAGCAAACCCTTATCAATATTTACGCACCAGTTATTACTCGACTCTAATAGAGCTGTAACGGTACTATATGATGCTCGAAACCCTGACTGATAGTTCGACAGTAAGTTGTTACTTGTCAGATAGGAGTAAAATTGGTCATAAACGGTTCTACCAAAAACTTTGGCAACCGCCGATATAATTGAAATTGGACGATAATTACTTAGATCACATTTGTCGCCATTTTTGAATAACGGTAAGACTTTTGCCATTTTCCAATCAGTCGGATAAATCCCCATAGAAAGCGATCTATTAAAAATTCTGGTTAACAAGGGGGAAAGAATATCAGCGGCTATTTTCAATAATCTACCTGGGATTTTATCAGGGCCGGTCGCTTTGTTAGCATTAATCGTTTTTAGCAAACAATTTACAGTGGACAAACCAATTTCCTCGAAAGAAAAAACACTATGTGTGGATTGAATATAAGAAACGGGATTATATTGAATATTATATATTGAATATAAGAAACGGGAGTCGTACACCACAGTGGAGCTAGCAAAGTTGTATTGGATCCTCCCTGGTTAATGAATCGCTTTACGAAAGTGATCTCTATGCCTGGCAAATTGGATGCATTGTCCAGGCACGCTCTTGATGTGTTCAAGCAGAAAGGCATTTTGTTTCGAGAATATCTTGAGACGCTGGAAGACGCAGAACTTTTAAAAGAGCTTATGCAAAAGTTTAATTTGATTTGTCTTTGCCAGCACGATGGAAAGGCAGCTTTTTGTGTCCCTTCAGTTGCCCCAGCTATGATACCAGGAATGGAGTTGGAAGCTAGCAAAATGGATTTAAATGTTCCATCGCTGTTTGTGACATTTCCTCGCCAACTTGTGCCGATGAGCCTATTTACGAAGCTTCAAGTGAAATTAATTTCTGAGTGGGAAAAGCGCTTTCCCAAACAACAAGCCACGCCTTCCTTTTACTGCAACTACTCCTTGCTTCCACTTATTATAGACGGCGACGTGTATGATGTTTGTTTAATCGACCTCCACGAATTCATTAAGGTTGCCGTTTTCCCCAAACATGAGGATGGCAACCATTTCAAGTTTGCCAGTCATTTCAAAGCCACTCTAAAAAAGTGTTTGGACGACCTTAAATCTCCAGATCAACTATTATTCAGCATGACCAGCTATGACCTCGAAGTGGAATGTACCTGCTGCTTTGGTAAAGACGAAGGAAAGTGTTCTCGTCATCATGAGATACAGTGTCATTCAGACCGTTGTGGGCACCGCCACTTCTGGAAGCTTAGTGACCTTCAGAGATTCTACAACGATAAATCCCCTGCAGTTTGCCGGTCGGACAAACGCTTGTCGAAGTTGTTTGACATAAAGAGTGTAAAGATTTGGCTCAATACTGGTAAGTGGCTAATGCTAAAGGCGTTTTTACTTTGCTAGTTTTGAAATCGTTAGTTGACAATCATCTTTGCTGTGGTTAGGACCAAGCCTGGGTTAGGACTATCGAGGGATTAGTGCGCTTACTATAAGTAAGCAACGTTTCTGTCAACACTGACGGACGTCATCTGAAAATTGGTATCACTAATATTGGAGACGTTTTGCATCTTAGCGCTCATGTAAGGAAGCAAATGTCATATGTTTTGTCATATGTGTTGAAGATTACCACAAACAGACAAACTGATACAAACACAGTTTTTAATCCAGTCCCCCTCGGCAATCTGACGTCCATGTTGACAAAAACATCGTTTGCTTAAGCTCACTAATATAGATAGATAGATAGATAGATTGTTTGTTTAATAAGATTAACACATAGCAGCCAATAAGGCTGAATTGCGTGCTAAATTTTACAAGAGAAATGATTAAAATTAGTTATTCTATATTTACAGAAGTTTAAAATTACATTACAATTTATAATTCTATATTACAGAAGTTTAAAGTTACATTACAAATTAGCTATGAAACTAGTAAATTTCTAAAAAAATGTTAGCCAGTCTAAAACTGAATATCAGAATCGATTGTCAGTTAATATTATTGATATGCCTTGCAGATGAAGGGAAAAAACTGTTTCTAAATCTGTTAGTTTTGGTCTGAGGAACAACAAAAGACCTTGAGTGTCTAAGGTCGTAATTTGGAAAGTATCTAGATGGTACATGATTATGCATATTAGCTACTGGTGTTGTGGTGATTTCATTAAACAGTTTCTCGCATGCATCCACACGCCTGTCACTTAATGGTTTGATGCCCGATTTTTGTAAACAATCCGCATAACCTGTCAGTGGATAGATGATTGATAAAACACGCTTTTGAACCCGTTCCAGGGCATTAGATAAGTAGGAAGGAAGGGCGAAGTGGAAAACTGGACAGCTGAATTCCATGACTGGTCTGACGCAGGTAGTGTAAAAATTTATTATGTCAGCTTCAGGTACATGAGCACGTTTCAACTGAATAATAAAATAAATCCGTTTGTTCGCCTTCTTAACTATGTTAGTTATGTGTTGGTTCCATTTTAGATCTTTAGAAATTGTCAAACCTAGGATTCTCGCGTGGTTCACTGTCTCGATTTGGCCTGAGATGATCTTAAGGCGCGGAAATTCTTTCTCAGGTTTTGTAAAACTGATAACAAGTTCCTTGCACTTGGAGGAATTTAATTGCATCTTGTTTTCTACAGACCAATTTTGAACACAATCGACTGTATCTTGAATTTTACTGGGTGTGTTGATGTAAATGATTTCAGATACCGTAGCATCATCGATGTATTTCCATCGCTCATGATGTGGGGGGCGTAGGTCATTTATCATTAGGATGAATAACCAAG